CCTAACTTCTGATTTCTGAAAGTCTGAGGTCCTGGAGGTGGGGGGGATCATGCTTAGTAGGGAGGACAGGTGCTCTTGTGGTCAGAATAGGGTCCAACTTCTGGTCTAGAGTAGGATGAGCACACGCTTATCTGGCGGAATGCCTCCCCAGTTTATGTTTTTCTAAACTGCCTCTAGAGTTCTAATACCCAACTTTAATAGAATGTAAATATCTCCCACTGTGTTTTAGGGAGATGTTTTTAAACGAGCAATTTATATGTATTTTATGTACATAATAATACAGCAGCATTAAAAAAAGTATGTGAAGGAAAAGTAGTGGGTTATATCTCAAAAAATTAAAGAAGTCAAAATCTTATGCAGATGTTGTTAAAAGCAGTCAGTGAAGGGAATGTGCATCTTAGATGGGGCAAATAAAGCAACTATTTGTTAATATTCATAGTTATAATATGATTACCAGGAAATAATTCCATCTTAATATGTATAGGATGTAACTTTCAAATGAGCATCTGACTGAGTTTTAGTTGTCTCATAGGAAAGTGGTTAAGGGTTTTATGTTGAAAATCCTAACTCACTATTCCCCAAACTCTGCATTTCTAAACTTAAACACTGTTTATACCAGATTGCCTAATTATGTATAGCGAATAAAATACTACAATTCTCAAAACACTCTTCATTTTTCTCTAATATTTTCTTACTCTGTTTTTCTCTGACATATCAATGTATGATTAAGACTGACTAAGAAAATGAAAGAAGACTGCTGCATAAGAAAAGGGTGCTACTATTTCTTGGGAGAGGAGGTTCAGATCTTTGAGCTCTATATACTACAAAGAGAAAAATAATCAGCATCACAGTAATAAATGCTTAGGAAAAGATGCTTTTAAAGGAACAATTTGTGTTTTAAACCCCAAATCTCAATATAGCATGAGATGTTTGGAAAAAGAAAATGATCTGATCTGAACAAAGACTGATACATAAGAATATTAATTTCAGACTTAATGAGAAAAAAATAGAAAGAGTCTGTAAAACAATAGGGAAACAGGTAAATAAAACACAATTCAGTGACACGTTAGCATATTACGTCCTAACAGTATTTTCAGTCATGTAGGAAAACTGTGCTCCATTTAATAATACACAAGAACATTCACAGCAGCTGCTTCTGGCCACTATAAACTTACGGGTAACATTTTCTTCTTTAAACATTTACTCATTTCTCCCAGTTCTACAGTGGGTTTCTACTTGCAGTTACATAGAGGGGAAAGGTTATAAACACTTATAATTCTGCCAGCCTTATCCTAGCCAAAATTCCCAAAGCAAAACTGTGAGAATTCAAGAAGATTCTCATAGAATGATCACTTTCTAGACCAACTCAATTCTGATTGTTGTGAAACAACATCTTGTAAGGTTAAGTAAAACCATAAGCTATATTCAACATAAAATTGTGATTTAATTTTTCTAAAGTAGGGTTCCCATTAGTTAGCATATAATTTGTTTAAAATGAAATGGAAGAATATGTGACATAAGTTTATTACTCTTCCATGTGAGTCTCCTTTTGATGCTTACGAGGATTGCTAGTGTCTCTTAAAATGCCCCAACTGACCTCATTTAATGCATTACGACTGACTTTTGTTAACACTTGCATATGTCTCTTGCAATATGAATATGTATGATACTCCAGAGTCACTTTTTTGTAAGCATTTAGGGGCTATGCCCTGTTCATGTCTATACCGTGGTAGCTGTCACGGCATTTAAATGAAAATAAAGATTCAAAAAACTATTGGAAAAATGAAGGCACTAAGATGTCAAATGTCATCAAAATCATCCAAGCACATTATGCCTGTCTTGTTCCTTTCTCTATTATTTGGTGCTTCCAATGATGTTTACAATCCTTAAGCCTAATTATTCTTTACTCCTGTAAGTCATGAAGCTCACTTTTTCTCATAGCAACATATTGTTTTTACCTGATAAGCTTTTCCTTCTCAAGACATAATAATTAAAAATACATAGCCTTAAACTGTCTTATGATACCATATTCTTATTAATTTTTTAAAAATATAATTTTAAATTACTATTCTATAATGCCATAGTCATACTTTCACTTTTTTTTTCCTAATTTATTTTTGCATAGAAGAACTAGGTGGCAGGCCAGAAGTGCAGTGAGTGAAAAGATTCACCAGAGACAGAGTGGGAAGCAAAACAGGCATATTACTGAAATATACTGCTAAGGGGGGGCATCAGGCAAGACAGGAGAGGTCTACTGCACTATATGTGGGTTAGCTCCCTGGCTGGGGATCAAACTCAGGACATAGCCATAGCAGTGATAGTGCTGAGACTTAACCCGTAGGCCCTATTTTTACTCTTATTCTTAAGGCTGTGTGTGCCCTTTAGGAATCCAAGGAAAGCTGTGAACTATCTCTCCAGAAATACATACTTTATAAAACATACTTTTTAATATATATTTCAGGGGATTAACAGATCATCCTCAACTTATTCAAGGACTTTCAGAACAAGAACTCTTGCTTGGTTCACAAGATATGTATGTTTTGGATCATTATCATATAAATTCTCATATGGATTTGTTACTTACCATGGCTTAATCATTATTATTATTATTTTTTAAGATTTATTTATTTATACAAGCACTGGGTACAGTCAGAAGCATGGGAGGGTGAGAGAATTCACCAGAGCCAGAGCGGGGAACAGAATAGGCAGAGTGAGGAAATACACTGCTGAGGGGAGCAGCAGGTGCGGCAGGAGAGGTCTGCACACCATGTGGGACTCTCCCCGGTGGCTGGGGATCGAACTGGCACTGCAGAGGTTGCGGACGGCTTCGCAGCCCAGCGCTCAACTGCTGCACCACCAAGGGAGGCCCTTAATCATTATTTTTAAGAGACAACACTTGTTGCTATAAAAATTCGGTAGGGGAAAACTGATATAATCTTTATTACTCTGTATGTAGCTTTGTAACTGGAAGGTACATTATTACTTCAATACCTATAGGTGTACATTTCCAGTTTAGGCCCTATACTAGGAACTGGGCACACAATAATGAAAAAGACAGACATGTGCCTTGCTGTGATGGAGGTCACAATATAACAGAAGGGCTTAGAGTCAAACAAAGACAATAGATTTGGAGTGAGTGAAGAGTTCAGGCTGGAAGCAGAGCGAGCAGTCAGAGCTGATATGGTAAACTAAACACGAGAAGATAAAAGTCTGGGTTAGAAGAGTATCTACCGTGCTAAAAATGGAAAACTAGAAAGATGCAGAAGTAAAATTCAACAGAGCACAGCTGTCAGATATCAGATTTAAAGATGATGCTGGGCCTCCCCGGTGGCGCAATGGTTGAGCACTGGGCTGGGAAGCTGCCCGCAGCCTCTGCAGCACTGGTTCGATCCCCGGCCACTGGAGGAGGGTCCCACATGGTGCGCAGACCTCTCCTGCCGCCCGCGGCTCCCCTCAGCAGTGTACTTCGGTCCTTCTGCCTGCTATGCTCCTCCTGCTCTGGCTCTGGTGAATTCTCTCACCCTCCCGCGCTTCTGACTGTACCCAGTGCTTGTATAAATAAAACAAACAAATAAATAAATCTTAAAAAAAAAATAAAGATGATACTGAGGTTTTGTCTTGGGCACACTGAAATGCTGACATGCTAGGTTTGTCATAGGGATATGAAGAGGGCCTATCTAGCAGACAGCTGAATGTATAGATCTGACTTTTTGAAAAATCTGTGCTGTAGATTGGGAGCTGGAAAGTAGCCAGGAACAAAAACACTGGAAAAGAATACAGTTGTTCAGGGAGGAGTCCAGAATGGAAACACGAAGGACCAAGAAAAATGTGAAAGAGGCAGAAAAAGATCAAAGGAGCAAACCAGAAGAGTGTGGAGTCACAGAACCGGTTCCCTCCCTGTTTAGGTGTCACCATAATCTATCTTACCAAAGAAAGTTTCTCTAAATTCTTTGGATATCTTTAATTTTACAAACTGGAGGGGAGCTGTATAATCAAAACCATTTTATAATATGATCTTGCTATAAAGCAAAAATGCTTACAGTACACATTAAAAAATTAAATATAATAAATATAAAGGAAGTTTGGCAATAAATACTATGAGATAATGATGCTTTCACTATATAACACCACATCTTTAAACCTGTATTTAAGATAATGAAAACTTGAAGTGAACTACATATAATCTATCATCTATATTTCAAAAACATTTATTTTTGTATATGTATTAGAGTTTAAAAATTATTTTGACACAATCCTATTTAATTCTTAAATAAAAGCCATAATAATGGTTTCGAGGATTCTCTTTTAAATAGAGGTAACACTGGTTTACAACCAGGATATGATTTAGAGAAACTTTATCCCCCTTCTAAAGAAGAAATCAGTGCTCAGAGGTAAGGAAACTCTCCTAAAACTACAATCTAGAGACTGTCAGGGTTTTCCACTATGCCACGATGCTCTAATGAGCATTCTAATGATCGAGTTCAGTATTTTATAGGGAAAATAATTTCACTTATTTTATAATTTTCAAGTATAAACTTCTTTTTTAAAAGATTTATTTATTTATGCATACAAGAACTGGGGTACAGGCCAGATGTTCGGAGGGTGAGAGGATTCACCAGAGACAGAGTGGGGAGCAAAACAGGTAGATCTACTGAAACACACTGCTGAGGGGAGCAGTGGGTGAGACAGGAGAGGTCTGCTGCGCCATGTGGGTTGTTCCCTGGCCTGCTGGGGCATTGAACTAGTGCTGCAGAGGCTGTGGATTGCTTCATAGTGAGGTGCTTAACCCCTTGCGCCACCAGGGAGGCCCCTCAAGTATTAACTTTGAGTTTTGTGTATATGTGCATGCGAGGGGGTGGGGGCTGGGAGGGAGGAATGATAACAACACCGACTATCTTTACTTTGAACCATTACACCATTATGTTTTTACTGGACTAACTGCATAAAGATTTATTTCAACTGATGATTCCAGCCTGGGAATGTGTGAGCAGATGACTCACCTAATCTGCTACGTCTAATCTCTTCTGGTGATACAGGCCGCAGCTTTCTTTCTGCTTTGATTTCTTCTAATATTCTCTCATGGAGACTCCGTGGCCGGGGTGGAGTGGGTTTCAGTTTTCTGGCTGAAGCCTTGAAAAAAAGAAAGTAAAGGATAGAAACTTTAGTCCTTAAATAATTTTTAGTCATACAGTATTATGAAATTATATTTATTGGTTGCAACATTGCTTGATAAAAGACTATTTTCAAGTCATGATTGTAATTCCTAAAACAATAGGGAGATACCTGGATTTCATTGATGTAGTCATCTGTGCTCAACTAATTTGAAGAAGTCAGTTTTGCTAAAGTTACAACTATGTTCCCCATATGCCAGTATGATAGTCAATCAATGATATGCATACTTTATTATTGTTTTTGAAACTAACATTTTTTAGTAAGTTAAGTCATTACAACCTCAGATTAACTTCATTCTTTAGTTGAGGAAATAAAGGCTCAGGGAGGCTGGATTAAGTTGCTTGGAGACATGTGGCTGTTAAATTGTGGACTTAGAATGCAAATCCATTTGACCCCATGCTCTTTCTGCCCTACCATAATTTGACTTCTTAAAATCATTTCCTAGAGGCCTTATTCCTTATTTTGAAAGATTTATAAGAGAGATCATTAATCATGCTATAGATGTACACAAACTAGGAAATGAAAAACTTTCCTTTTCCAGATAATACATAGGTTTGAGAAGCTTTGGTGAGCACTGGTTATTGAGCCAAGGGAAGACGACAATAGAGAAAAATGAAAACCAACATTCAAACCAGATGAGCATATTCTCATTCTAAGGTCACTTTTAAGAACCTATTAACAGAGGAAGATAATCAAAAGAAGATGTATATCAAGGTAGATTACATCCTAAAGCAATCAAGGAAGGCATCAGCACTGTAAAATAAATCAGAAGGGCAATTCATACCAGGAACTATCTGGTACTCTATTTAATCATTATTCTAGGAGATATTTGACTAGATTTTGTAGAGGCATGTTTTTTTGTTTTGTTTTTTTTTTATAGAGGCATGTTTTTATTTATTTATTTATTTGTTTGTTTGTTTGTTTGTTTTGTTTATACATGCACTGGGTACAGTCAGAAGCGCGGGAGGGTGAGAGAATTCACCAGAGCCAGAGCGGGGAGCAGAGCAGGCAGAAGGACCGAAGTACACTGCTGAGGGGAGCAGCGGGCGGCAGGAGAGGTCTGCGCGCCATGTGGGACCCTCCTCTGGTGGCCGGGGAGCAGCCGGGGATTGAACCAGTGCCGCGGAGGCCACGGGCAGCTTCTCAACCCAGCGCTCATCCGCTGCGCCACCAGGGAGGCCCTAGATTTTGAAGAAGAGTCCATTGTTGTGTTGAATAACTATTTTTTTTCTGTGACTTAATGTCATTATAGTTGGGCTTCATCACTCTGAAAATAAAAGCTGAGTGTAAAAATTAATCCCTGTAGGAGCTGAGTTCTAGACATCACGCCCTACAGCAGAATATTCAGTATGTGATCTCCAGTTAAAAATAATATTTCAAATTACATACTGGATTTAAAGGAGGTCTTGACCTGATGAAGTCCAGGATGATCTCATGGGCACTTTTTTTTAACCGAGGGGGAATATCACCATTCACCTGGAAGAAAACAAAAAGTGCAAGATCCATGTGACTTTATGATTATCATTGCAAGTGTCTATAGAAAATCACTTAAATGTAATTTGCCTCCACCAAGGATGCATTTCAAATCAATAAGCCCAAGAGTGAATAGCTGAGTGATTGAGAGCAAAAATAAGTATGCAGTACTGAAGAACATCCAAGTTTACTATAGTTTTATCATTTTGAGAAATTATATATGAGACACATCCCTTTCACACACAAAGTTTCTAAAATTATGAATGTGAATGGAGAGGCTGGATCCGTCTCTGACTCCTGCTCTAACTAACATCCTCATCTTTTAAAACAACATGTTACAAAAAAAGAAATTAAGAAATTTAATAAAACCTCAGAAACACCACCAAAATAACAACCTAAGCTCACATCCTGACAACTCAGAATGCACAGTTGTCACCATTTTGTTACATTTACTTCCCCGTCTTATGTGAAAGAGGTAGGTACTGATATATGAAAAATGCTATGTATTTTCTTCTATCATGTTTTGTATGACACATGGATGAAAACAGAAATATCAACAAATTATAAATTTAAAATTAATAAATACTATAACCTTCTCAAAAGAGAGAATTAGCATACTATTTTTATTAGTGAACTGCTTGAAAAACCTCTACAATATTCACCCCCACCCTTACTTTGGTGATCTACCCTTTACTTACCTCACCCTTTTCTAATCATTTTATATTATCAATTTTATTGGAGAGGAAAAAAAGGTAACTAGTCATTTCTCTAGCATCAGTGGCTGACTTTTTCATTTTGATAGCTAAAAACCTTTATCTTCATAACATTATTGAAAAACGTCATGTAAAATTTTAATATTATTGTGAATTTGATAAAAACAGGTGAATTGGTGGTGGGAATTTCAATGGGGACTATACCAAGATGAGAAAGCATACATTTTTCAGTTTCTTTCTCCCCATTCTCCATCTAGGATACCTATGATTCTTATATTTCCTTATCTCATGGTGTCAGATAATTCTGAAAAGTGTTCCTTCATTTTTTCCCCTTTGTATTTCTTTTTCCATTTTGATTGTTTCCCCATTTGTGTCTTCAAGCTCATTGATTTGCTCTTCCATTTGTGTACTCTACTTCCTTGGCTTTCTCCAGAATTTGTCATCTCCATTGATCTTTATATATCCTGTAATTCTATTATTATTATTATTATTATTATTATTTTTTTTTTAATAAATTTATTGTTATATTCCCCATACAATTGCAGCCCCCCCATTCTGACCCCAATCCCTCCCCTCCCACCCCCGCCCCCCTAAAAGTGTATCTGGTTCATAGTTTTTTGTTGATTTTGATTTTCACTTTCTTATAGTTATTCATTTTCTTGGTCCCTTATTTAAGTTTTCTAGATTCCTGCTATGAGTGAGACCATCCGGTATTTTTCTTTTTCTTTTTGGCTTATTTCGCTGAGCATGATCCCTTCCAGCGCCATCCATGTTGCTGCAAATTGCATGTGTTTATCTTTTTTGAATGCTGAGTAATATTCCATGGTATATATGTACCACATCTTCTTGATCCAGTCATCTATTTTTGGGCATTTGGGTTGTTTCCAAAGCTTAGCTATTGTAAACAGTGCTGCTATAAACATAGGGGTGCAGGTGTTCTTTGGAATTGATGTTTCTGTGTCCTTTGGGTAAATACCTAGGAGTGGAATTGCTGGATCATATGGAAGTTCTATGTTTAGTAGGTCCAGAAATCTCCATACAGCTTTCCACAGTGGTTGGACCAGTTTGCACTCCCACCAACAGTGCAGAAGAGTTCCTTTTTCTCCACACCCTCGCCAACATTTGTTGTTGCTAGTTTTTTTAATATGTGCCATTCTCACTGGTGTAAGATGGTATCTCATGGTAGTTTTGATTTGCATTTCCCTGATGACAAGTGATGTTGAACATTTTTTCATATGCCTGTTGGCCATTTGCATTTCCTCTTCAGAGAAGTTTCTTTTAAGCTCTTCTGCCCATTTTTTGACTGGATTATTTTCTTTGTTGTTGTTGAGTCTCATCAGCTCTTTGCAGATTTTTGTGATCAGTCCTTTATCATTAGTGTTGGGTGCAAAAATGTTCTCCCAGTTGGTGGGGTTTCTCTTTGTTTTTGTTATTGTCTCTTTTGCTGTGCAGAAGCTCTTTAATTTGATGTAGTCCCAGCTGTTTATCTTTGCCTTCACTATCACTGCTTTGGGTGATGTGTCTGTAAAGATGTCTTTGATGTGCAAATCACGTAGTGTTTCGCCTAAAAATATGGAACGCTTCACGAATTTGCGTGTCATCCTTGCGCAGGGGCCATGCTAATCTTCTCTGTATCGTTCCAATTTTAGTATATGTGCTGCCGAAGCAAACACTATTATTATTATTTTTAATGATCCTCTAATTTTTTCTACCAGTAGTACATATGTGAACACAGATATTATTTAAAATATTTGGGCTGATTTTGCAATGTAAATTGTTTCTTTAAATGTTTAAAATGTGGAGAAATTTATGAAATTAAGAGAATAAAATATATAAAATGGTATTAATGTATAAACTGGATATAGAAAAAAAGTACAGAATGAATTTTATTGAATGCTACTTATATTTATTTATTTAATTTTATTTTTATATTCCCCGTACAATTGCAACCCCCTCATTTTAACCCTGATACCTCCTTTCCCTGCCCCTTCTCCCCCCATAGTGTGTCTCTGGTTCATAGTTGTTTGTTGATTTTGATTTTTTCTTTCTTATAGTTATTCTTTTTCCCGGTCCCTTATTTAGGTTTTCTAGATTCCTGCTATGAGTTAGACCATCCGGTATCCTTGCCCACTGCACCCCTTAGCATTGTATTTCGGTGCATCTGCCTGTTCTGCTCCCCACTCTGTCTCTGGTAAATCCTCTCACCCACTGCATCTCTGGCCTGTACCCCAGCTCTTGTATGCATAAATAAATAAATTTTTTTTAAAAGGTCTTTAAAAAAAGAAAAATATTTCTGAAATAAGCCAGGAGAGATCTGCTGCACCATGTTGGTAGCTCCCTGGCCGGGGATCAAACTTGTGCTGCAGTGACTGCGGACAGCTTCATAAGTTGCGTCTTAACCCCTTGCACCACCAGGGAGGTCCTCCATTATTTTTCTTATTGAAAGTTGAATTTTGGGGCCTCCCCTGGTGGCGCAGCAGTTGAGTGCTGGGCTGCAAAGCTGCACGCAGCCTCTGCAGTGCCGGTTCGATCCCCGCCCCCTGGGTGAGGGTCCCACATGGCGCGCAGACCTCTCCTGCCGCCCACTGCTCCCCTCAGCAGTGTATTTCATCACTCTGCCTGTTCTGTTCCCAGCTCTGGCTCTGGTGAATTCTCTCACCCTTCCGTGCTTCTGACTGTACCCAGTGCTTGTATAAATAAATAAATAAATCTTAAAAAAAAAAATTAGACTATTTAAAAAAAAAAAGAAGAAAGTTGAATTTTGATCTGTTCATTGATTGAGTTTCTCATAGCATTCATTTGCTTTTCTTAGTGTTCCTGTATATCTCTGAACCATTTTCTGGGTTTTCTTTGTATTGTGCTAATTCTTTGATTTTCTTAATTAGGGCAATTTTGAATGTATATCTGATATGATAAAATGCTCTTTCATGTCTTTGTGGTTGGGTTCTGGAGATTTATTTTTCCCTCTGTGCTGTATGGTTCCCCTGAGAACTTGCTTGGCCATTTGTACTTTTCTTTCTCCCCTCTGTTTGCTTTGGGTTTGTTCTGCTGTATTTGGGGCTTTTGTCATGTGTAGATCCTCTTCTACTTTTCTGGAAGTTTACTGGGTGGTGAGCACAGCAGCTTGGGCTTTGTGGATGCTGCTGGGTTCTGGATGCCAGGGAGGCTGGCCCTGGGTAGGCATTGGCTGAGGGTGTTTGTGGCTGGGAAGCTCACCCCAAATCTCTTCAGGGATGGGTTCCAGTAAGTGGGGTGGTACCAGATATATGATGTATATGATGTTTTGAAGGCAAAATTGCCTGAGGTAAATATATAATATCTTTTTGGTTAAATCTTATTCATTCTTCAAATTGTATCCCAAGAATAACTTTTCACTGGAGTCTTCCTTAACATGCCCAGAAAGAGCTGGCTGCTCCTTCTATATTTTATACCTTCCCTGTCACTCATCATATATTGGCTCCCCAACTAGAGTGTGAGACTATGACCATACATTTATCTTCATATCACTAATACTTGGCAAAACCTCAAAAAGAGGTCTTAATAAATAAAATTAAATCCTTATGGAGATATAGCTATTCGGGAAATTTTGTTTAGCAGTTTAATTTTAATATAACTACACTTGTAGCTACAATATGACCCAACAATTATATCATGGACATTTATCCCAGAAAAATGAAAACTTAGGTGTACACATAAATCTGTATACAAGTTTTCACAGCAGCTTTATTCATAATCGCCTCAAATTGGAAACAACCCATGGGTGAATGGTTAAACAAAGTATGCGATATCCATACCATACTGTAGAATATTATTCAGCAATAAAGGGAGTAAATGACTAATACACATAATAACTTAAATGGCTTTCAAGGAATGAGTGTTAAGTGAAAAAAAAAGAAATCTCAAAAAGTTACATTCTGTTCCACTCCATTTTTATAAAGTGATTGGAATGAAAAAATTAAGGACATGTATGCCAGGTCAGTGGTTAGGGAAACGGAAGTGGGACAGGAGGATGGATGCAGTCTTAAAGGGATTGTACATAGGAACCTCATGGTAGAGGTAGTTTGCAATGAATCTATAAATGTTATGAAATTTCACAGAACATATACACACACAGAGGAGTTTAAGGTTATTATTTGGCAGATAGTGGAAAGACATGAAAAGTTTCCACTACCATGAATAGGTATCAGAAGCATTAATCTAACAGCAGTATAAAATAGTGGGAGACTGTAATAAAGACAAAAAGGGACAGAAACAAAATATATTACAGAAAGAATTAAGAATACTCAGCAA